CGCCTATCCATGAAGGGTGTGCCAGCTAAACGCCTTTCGGTGAGTTTCGAGGTAGTGGGTCCACTAGAAACAGTCTCCTTAGTTCCGCACGACAGGTGGGGCTCTCCAAGGTTGTCCTATATCTCTTTCCCTCTTCAAGTTTGTTATCGAAATGATCATGAATGACTCAGTCCTTTAAAGCTACTATGGAGTGGTAGTTCTTCCAAGGGACCGATTGACAAACCTGGAGTATGTGAACGACATAGTTCTCCTTGGGTCTGATGCAGTGGGTATGCAAACAATACTACACAGACTCACCCGTTTATGTGCAGTCCGTTACATGACATCAGTCAAAGTTGATTCACGGAGTAGTACAAAACGCTGTTTGTTTGTGATTTCCGTTTATGCTCCCACCGACTGCAGTTCTAATGTGGTCAAGGACACTATCTATCACGAACTGAACGCCCTATTACGCAGTGCTACTACTACAGGTATTGCAGTACTTTCATGGGATATGAACGCAAAAGTAAAGCGTCTCAGCTCTTCAGAAGCTCAGCTGGGTAGTAATTATGGGCTTAACTCCGAACAGACTGACAGCGGTGAGCGTCTGCTGCAACTGTGTGCGGAGCGCCAGTTGTTTCTTAGTAGCACTGCTTTTAGACACAGTGGGCGCCGAAATGCTACTTGGCGTCCTCCTGTAGCTGGCCAGCGATGGACTCAAAATGACCATATAACCATAAGTTACAGGTGGCGTGAGACCATTCTGGATTGCCGCTCGTACTGGAATACCTGCGTCGACTCTGATCATGTCTTAGTACGCTGTCGCTTCTCCGTGAACCTTACCGGGAGGCGCACCAAGCGTCCCCTCCGATTGGCAACCGAGAAATTGTCTCAGCTCTCGGTCAGGCAAACCTATCAAGACGTACTGCGTACCGAACTTCCGCTGTATTATCCTAATGACACTGCGCTTCAGCGGAATAGGATCTCGGCCGCCATGCACATGCAGGAGCATTTGTTTGTGGCACTATCCATCGTCACCGCGCCAGTCACTGGATATCCGAGAGGTCGATGAACTTGTTGGAATCCAGAAGAAACCTCCCGGCTGGCTCTGAGCACAATGTGACCAGACGGGCTATTAGGCGCAAACTAAAGCAGAGCTTACGTGCTGACAAGGAAGCCTGGTGGACTAGTAGGGCTCAAGAAACGGAGGAGGCAGGAGGCAATTACCCCAAGCTCTTTCAGCTGATCCGCACCACTGGTCCCAGAAAACCAGACGTCAGTGAGATAATCAGAGACAGCGCAGGTGCACTGACACACAATAAGGAGCGCAGGATGGATCGTTGGTCGGAACACTTGCAAGATCAGTTCAACTGGCCCCCTGCTCCCGGACCTCTTCCTACTCAGATGATGCAGGACGACCCATGGACGGTTAGTTTAGAGCCTCCGTTGGAGGCTGAGGTCCGAAACGCGATCACAGCTCTCAATCGCTTTCGTGCTGCCGGCCCGGATTGCCTCCCACATGCACTATTTAAGAATGGAGGTGAGGTCCTCTGCAAAGCACTGACCTCCCTATTCGAATGTATCTGGAAGGAAGAGTGTCCCGGCTGATTGGAAGGAACCGATTATAGTGAGAATATAAAAGAAGGGCAGTCGCACAGACTGTTCTAACCACAGGGGTATTAGCCTAACGCCAGTTGTGACAAAATTACTGGCCTCGACCCTCGTTCGTCGCTTCACTGTGGGACGGGAATCTCGGATTAAAGATGAGCAAGCAGGTTTCCGCCCAGGACGTGGCTGTATAGACCATATATTCACTTTGTGGCAGGTGCTAGAGCAGCGCCAAGCATACCGCAGACAGGCAATAGTTGTGTTCCTCGATTTCAAGTATGCGCTCGATTCAGTCGATCGATGCATTCTGTTCGAAATACTTGCGCGGAAAGATCTTCCAATGAGATATGTGAACATCTTACGTGCTCTATACTCGAACACTAGATACCACAGCAGGGTCTACGGTGATTTGACGGATGCGTTTACGACAACAAGTGGTGTTCGCCAGGGTTGTCCGATTTCCCCATTTTTGTTCAATTTCGTCGCGGATTATAACACGAAGTGTTCGCTTGCGGAATCTCACGATGTAGGCGTTGAAGTGCTGCCTGGTGAAAGATTAGTTGATCTAGATTATACGGACGATATCGTCTTGCTTTTCGACGAGCTTGCGGCGGCATAATCAACCCTGAATAGCCTGTCCAGAGTGGTCCCATTATCTGGTATGCGCTTTGCATCTTCAAAGTGCGAAGTGTTGCTGCAAGACCACCAACCACTTTCTGACCTCTTGGCCCTTGCTAACGAGGAACTCAAGGTGGGTGATCAATTCAATTATCTTGGCAGCTTCATCAGCAACGATGGGCGCATAGAAACTGAGGTCAGCTCACGCATTGCAAAAGCCAGAGCTGCCTTCTTGAACCTGTGGCATCTTCGACGACAGAAGAGAGTTTCCTTCCGTCTGAAAGGCCGTGTATACAAGGCCACAGTGAGCGCCGTTCTGCTCTGTGATAGTGAGACTTGGCCCCTTCGGTCTGAAGATCTGAGGCGCCTTCAAGTCTTTGATCATAGTTGTCTGCGAAGCATTGCTGGTGTCGGATGGCACCAGCGTATCCCCAACGATGATGTGCGTAGGCAAGTACTAGGTAGTGATAATCATGCTAGCTCCCTAGAACAACAGATAGCACTGAATAAGTTGCGTTGGCTCGGGCACGTGCTACGTATGCCTGGTCACCGCTTACCTAGGAGCGCCTTGTTTAGTCTGCCAGGTGTAGGGTGGCGCAAGGCTCGCGGTGGACAGAAGTTGACTTGGCAACGGGAAATGAAGACACTGACGACCAAACTGGGTACCGTTGGTCCGTCTCGCCTTCCGGGTTGGAGTCCACGTGACTCGCCTTGTGCTTACCTCGAGACTTTACAGGACATGGCTCGCAACCGACACCAATGGCGCGTCTGCTGCCGTCTCCTAATCGGATTGCCTGTTTAAAGTGTGTTTGGTGCTGAGTCATCTGCGGGGTAATGGCTGATTATGACGCGTGTCAGTGAAAGCCGCAAGGAAGCTGTCTCGCAGATGCCGCCTTATCTTTGCACGATAGCCAGCTGTTTGTGACGGTATGTTGTCTACACAAGGTGTAGGCGCCTTGATCCTGAATGTTTGCTTAGGGCATTAAGGTTTTCATGTGAATCCCCCTTCTCTCCCTCTTCTTATTCTTTATTTCATAGGTCCTCATGGTTGTATGACAGCGAAGCATCAGTTCAAATGGCTGATGTACTGCTGTTGTTGTTGATGATTGGATAGACTTGTGCGTAGCGCCGCACACTTTTGCATGTGGTTTGCAACTTCAAAGTGCAAGGACCGACACACCTCCGGTTTTAGATATTTCTGGACAGCCACTGGTGGTAATGGAACGCTTCGCTTACCTTGGTAGCTATGTCACTTACGGTGGTCAAATCACTGTGGAAGTTACTGCATGTCTCAGCAAGGCTTGTGTGGCTTTTGCAGAGGTTCAATCATCTACACAGACGGCGGGAAATCAGCTTGCCATTGAAAGGTAGGGTGTATTACGCTGCAGCAAAGTCGGTCTTACTGTTTGCATCCGAGACCTGGCCAGTCCGCAATGAAGACTTGAAACTCTTGACCGTGTTTGACCACCGGTGTTTGCGTAGTATTGCTCACTTTTGGTGGGAACGCCAGGTGAGCAATGCTGAGATCCGCCAGACTTCTTTTGGCAAGAGGTCTTCTAGTGTCTCCCTCGAGTGTTTGCTAAATTTTAGTCGTTTGCGTTGGTTAGGCAATGTGATCCGTACACCTGCTGATTGGCTTCCTCGGCATGCATTATACACCGTGGCCGCACCAAGTTGGGTGAAACCGCGAGGTGGCCAGTTCATGATACGACATCGAGGCTTGAAGATACTGCCTAAGGGACTTGGTCAGGCTGGTAGATGGAGGCGTCGGGATGGTCCACACCAATGGTTGGAGTCTGTGTCAGAGAAGGCGCAGTCACGGAATCCGTCGCATTTCTGTATTCAGCTTCTTACATGTGGTTGTTAGTTATGGTTCCATTCTGATTAGTCTAGCGCATTTCTTTCTTGCTTTCGTTTTCTCTACATTCTATTTGCACCCAACCTTACTATCCTATCGGGGTTATTTATCCTTATACTTACAGTGTGAGTCGTGGTAGCTGGATGCACCGCACTTCGGTGTTAGGATCATAGTTGATGTACAGAACCTTAGATTCCCTGACCGGAATTGATGGAGGCGATTTCCAGCGCTCGATAACAACGCGATAACCAATTTTTCGCCCTAATCCGGTGAGAGCGTGGCTTACGCATTTTCATGGAATGACGACGGAGACCAAATAACATAACCGGACTAAATAGCCAAGACAAGTATAGACCAATTTTCCCAGTCAAAATACGATGAGGGTCAAGTCCTTCGGAGTATTCGGTAGTGCATTGAATGCATCCTCAAACTAAGTGCTCGTAGCACGTCTGTCCCCACCACACCTTGAGCAACCTAATATACTCTGGTAAAACCCACTCCAGCTCCATGTTCTCCCGGACGACTAGGGCGCACAAATATAGACGTAATAACTCGGATGGGCCAAAGGAAAGCTAAAACCAGTTTCACAAAGACGTCAGCGATTACGATTCCGAAGGAATGGCGTATGAACCATAACGTACGGAACCCAGTTGCCGTCTGAGTGTAAAGTCAAGGGTCGGATGATGCATAGGTCGATCTAGTTGGAAACAAGGAGAAGTTCGACTACCAATCAACTCCTGGTCCAACAAGAGACAGAAGAAGGGACATTCATATGATTATCTCGTTGTTCCAGCCCTAAGTGAACTTGAACTTGATGTCACCTGAGGATTCAAGAACATCAAAAATTAAACGTCGCCTCAAACACCTAAAAAGCATTATGATCGTAACGGGAGTTGTAGAAAAAAATCTCAAATGGATAGTCAAAAGCAAAACTCACTGCCTCCTTAGGACATTTCTTGTCCTTGTCATAGGAAGCCGCTCTAGGTGATAAAAATTCACTGGCGAAACTTCTACAAGTCTTCTGTAACAGCAGATGGCTATCAGGTAACATGCAAACATGACGTGCGTAAAGTATTTGAAGGGACGAGTTTGCTTTTACTTCGCGATATTGAGGAGGGAAGAGTTGGCGTTGAAGTCTGATTGCAAAACGAAGTGCCATTTCTCAGCAGGTAGTTGTGAATTGTACCAGACTGAGCCTCAAGTGATAGGCTAATCGAAGAAGAAAAATTATGCGTAAGCCATGAGTCTTCATAGGTATAGCAATGGTAAGATAGTAGTTTCATCATCATCATCATTACACGTTAGCTGGAGGTGGAAAACACCTCAGCTATTGTGCCGCAATACAAAATAAAAGAAAAGGAAAACAGTGGCACGCCCGCTGAGTCCCCAGTAACGGATGGACATCGTTCCGGAGAGCTAACAGCTGGCTGCCGTAAAAAGAGAATCATATTATGCCTAACAGGTGAGATCGTGATTGGAGGGGGATACTAAACAGGAGGGGGATGGGCAAAGGAAATCACAACACAAACGCCATTGGTGCCGGCTCCGAGCCATATCAGCAAGTGTGTCCAACCAAACGTGTTCACCGTCTTTAGGACCCCAGCCAGGCAGTCGGGATGCACCAACCGACGCCAACTTCGAAGTGAGGGTTTGCATTTCTCTCGACCAAGTCATCACTTGGCTTCCCCTCCTCCTCTTCCAACCGCACCCACAACGCGCAAACAATGCACGTCGCGGGAGTCAGTGTGCTGGTATGCGCAACACGTGACCCCAACATCGGAGCCTGGTGCGTGATATAATGGTGCTGAGCGGTTCACTTGCTCTTCCTGCACCAAATACGCGACGTCGAACACGCTCATTGCTCACGCGGTGTTCCCACCAGACATGAGCTAAGCTGCGAAGGCAGCGATGATCGAATGTGACGATCCTCTTCATGTCAGTCGACCTGATGGGCCAGGTTTCACAAGCATATAAGAGAGTAGAACGGACGGCTGCGTTGTAAACTCTGCCCTTGAGGACGAGAGTAATGTCGCGTCTGCGCCACAGGTGGCGGAGATTGGCAAAAGCACCTCGAGCTTTTGCTATACGGTTGGTAACCTCATCTTCAATCCTACGGGTGCTAATATAGCTGCCCAGGTACTTGATTTCCTGAACGACTTCGAGCAGATCACCACCAAGCGTTAGCGCAGGGTTGGGTCCCTGCCAATCTTGGAGAAGTACTTTGCATTTCGATGAAGCAAAGCATAGCCCAAAACGATTGACAGCCAGTGCTAATCGGTCTAGTGCTCTTTGGCATGTTTTGAGGCTGTCACAGATTAGGGCAATATCGTCCGCATACTCCAAGTCAAGAAGTCGCTCAACAGGAAGTAGCTCTACACCATCTAGGTCGTGTCCAGCGAACGCTGTTTCTGTGACTTCATCAATAGCGAAGTTGAAGAGGAAAGGTGACAGCGGGCAGCCTTGTCTCACACCGCTGGTGATACTGAAGGGTGGCGAGAGTTTGCCATAAACCCTTACCCTGCCCGAACTATGCGCGTACAGCGCTTTGATAATGTTTACATATTTATCAGGCACACCTTTCCTCAGCAGACAGTCCCAAAGGGCACATCGATCGACCGAATCGAAGGCACCTTTTATGTCAAGAAACACGACAACGGTGGGTCACCCATGAACATGGCGGTGCTCCAACACGTGACGCAATGTGAAGATGTGGTCGATGCAGCCCCGATCTCGACGAAATCCGGCTTGCTCTTCACGAATCTGGCTTTCACGAGTGCCAGTCAGTCTGCGGAGAACGAGAGGCAAGCAATTTAGAGGCAATCGAAATCAGACTGATCCCTCTATGATTGCCGCATCCCAAACGAGAGCCTCCTTTGAAAATTGGAACAATGACGGAGCGGTTCCAGTCTGTCGGGACTGTCTTCTGCTCCCAAAGTTTTACTAGCAACTCGTGTAGATCATCTAATAGAGCAGATCCCCCGAATTTGAAGAGGGCTGGGGGAATTCTATCTGCTCCTGAGGCCTTATGCAATTTCAACAGCCGAATCTCACGTTCGACCTCTGCGCGTGAGGGCGGATCCGAGGAGACGGCCCAAGGAGAAGGGCGCTCAATGCCTGAAGAAGAAAGCGATAACTCAGGTTTGTTAAATTGCCTTGCAAAGTGTTCAACCCAACGCTCCAAGCGTTTTGACAGGCTGTGGATCATCTGCCCACTCTCGTCGCGTATGGTCTCGCTAACACCAGGTCTCCTGCTGCCTGTTTCCCGTATCAGACGGAATAACTTACGATGATTACCCACGGCAGCGGCTGTTTCCATTTCCGATGCACGATGAGACCACCAGGTTTCGCGGTCCTTCTTTAGGCTAGCACGTAGTTTTGCCCTGAGATTTTTGCGAGCCTCATTGTATTCGCTTCCAGCCGGAATACGTCGGCGAGCATCCATAAGTTCCATAGACTGTGTAGAGACCCAATGTCCGGTTTGGCAATTTGCTTTGCCACATGAAGATATGCCTGCTGACAGTAACGTTTGACGAATATGCGACCAGTGATCTTCAACGGTGTTTAGTGGGCGCTTACCCAGCCCAGATGTCAGTGCACTATGGTATACAATCAGAACATCTGGCTTCGCCAGCTGGCTGGTGTCAATCCGTTCACATCGACGTTGCGGACATCCACCGAAACACACCCGGAGGTCGGCACAGACATGTGCGAGGTCAGAGTCCACGCTCGTGCTTCAAATCGAGCGACGATTTTGGACAGCCTCTCCAGCGGTAACTGATCGCGATATGATCGATTTGTGTCCATGGTTGGCCCGAGGCTGATGGCCGCCAAGTCACACTTCGGCGGGTGCTGTGTTGAAAGTTAGTGCTCGCGAGAAAGAGGCGAGCATCTTCACACAGATGTAGCAATCGCTCACCATTATCATTACGCGAGCCTACACCATGTTGGCCGCCCAGATGAAGCTCATCAGAGGACAACTTTCCGACTTGGGCGTTTAGATCACCAGCCAACACCACAGTATCCGTGCTTCTTCTGTAACGAAGGAGCTCGTGAAGTTGCTGATAGAAATCATCTTTTACCGAATCAGTGCTACAGTTTGTAGGGACGTAAGCCACAATGACAAACAGGCACCGTTTGTCCCCACGCGACTTCGTAGCACTGAACGAACCAGCTAATCTAACGGCGCACATTCTAATCAATCAGGGCAGCTTCAGCCCGGGGACTCAAAATAATGCCGACGCCAGCTTGACCGGCATTTGAAGCTGCATCATCACCAGACAGGCGCAATGAGAATGTGCCGCCAGTGTCGCATGTGGGGGATCTCAGGGTAAGTACGGAGCTCGAATCTTGCAGGCGGGTTTCTGATAAACAGCAAATATCGATCGACAGGGTCTCTAGTGTGCGGGCAAGTGCTGCCTGTTGGCCAATCTGCAGCAAAGTGCGCACGTTGAAGCATGCCAGTCTTAGCGAGACGCCAGGACTTCAAAGGGAAACGGATGAACTGACGTTGTTTAGAAATATCTAGAATATCACTCAGCTGAGCTACGGAAGACAAAAACAGAGCGCTTACCATCCAGCACGGCGCAACGAAAAATTGTGGGTAATCTTGTATACTGCGGAATGGTTCTAGTATGAGTGAAGTAAATTCAATGTGTTAAAAATGAAGAAATACACGATTTCAACGGTTATCACATAACGAACAGGAAAAGGCGGCGGGTCAGGATCGAACTCAGTGAGAACGAGAACAGCACGTCGCAGACGAGTATCGGCAATCCCAAAGTAAGTCCAGGTAGTACAAGCATATAAGCGATAAGCATAGAACGACAGTAAAAGTAGGTTAGTAAGTGGCTAAAACAGTCACCAGAGATGCTATGGGAGCCAAATTTGTACAAGATTAGTAAGACAGAAGGATGATTAAAGGCTTTCGCTACATTATCCCCTAAACAAAATAGCGTTATACGCAATGCGTCCGGTGATCTTGGGCCATGCTGAACAGGAAATCGGGAGAAACCGTTTGACCCCCCAGTAGGGAGCCAACTCGGTCTCGTAGAAGATGACGGCGCAAAAGTAGTGGTAGGGGAGGAGTCGATCAAAAGACTGATCACACGACGGTATCCGGGGACGAGAAAGTGAGCAAAGAATCGGAATGCAGTAGACTACAGAAAATGTTATGCAAATTTTGGTGGATCCAAGGCTGTGGTCTGCAAATGGAGTAAATTGTCCGGAGGAACACTTCAGTCGACCGCATTTTGAGGCCCGAGCGCACAAATTGTTGTATGAAACCGGTGAATGGGTTTGATGAGGTTGTGAGATCGCTCTTATGAAAACAATAGGAAAGGCATGAATGAGAGTCACGCTGGCCTACATGGCACATGTTTTGCTTATAGAGTGATGATTGTATCGCAAAATCCGAGACCATAGAACATAGTCACACTAAAGGACAGTGAAACGAAGTCAAGGACAGTATCTGAAAGGCATAACCCCTCTTGTACAGGGCTACACAGGCATAACAGTGAAATATGAAACCACGAAGGTCCTAAAGTCAGTATCGGGAATCAAAAACGTCCGCAACGCCAATGGTTTGATTGGCTAACGGTATCCGAGACATTCGTGAATTTCGCATGCTCAGAGTCTTGTTGCGCCAGAACATAATGTGTTGGTGAAAGATCTAGCAGAGCAGACGAAGCAAACAGACATTTCTGAAAACAGAGACCAGGCGCAATATCTGGTGGAAAAAGCTTTCTTCTAATCAAATCCTCAGCTATATCCAGATGGACAGGGCAGAACAAGACAGGAACGAAGAAGAAAGCACGTTTTTGCCTTGTAGTGCGCCGGAAAACACGCCCTTTCAGTGTTCTGCAACACTGGATTTTACGGGGCTGTTTTAACCTTCAAAACGCCCACTTGTTTTACTGACTGCACATCCGTGGACACAAAGCGTTTTGGTGAGTAACTTGCTGCACCGTTTCTCGCTCTGACTGATTCGCTTCCTACTTTTGTAGTCTGCACAATATACGTTGGGTTCAGCCGCCTCCAACTTCTATCATTATCACTATACACGTCAGCTAGAGGTGGGAAACGCCTCAGCTACTGTGTCGCAATACATAAAGGAAAAGGAAAATAAATACAACAGTTGCATGCCAGCTGAGCTACCAGCAACGGATAGGCATCGTTCCGGTAAGCTACCAGGCAAAAACAAAAATAATTATG